AGATCATGCATTTTAGCCAAGCCTCATTTCGCTCTATTTGCTCTATTCCAGCCCTGTCTTTACAAGGGGTGATTCTGTGGCAAATGAGCTGCAGCTGACCACGCCCCCCGGCAAAGGAGGGGGGCGAGGCACGAGCGTCATGTTACCATGCTGCTACCATGCTGTTACCATGCTGTTGCCATGCCACGCAACCTCTCATTTCCCTGATAGGTGGAGAGTTGGCCATATAGGCGGAGCTCCCCGTTTCTGACGTCAGAGATATTTCAAATCTGGATCAGTCTGTATCAGATCCGTTGCAGCCCCGTTTTTAGAGATTTTGGCATGGAGGAAAAGAGTGAGGGATGTGTTTTCTGACACTTGGTGAGTTCCCTGACACACCGGGGACACATATTCATGTATAATAGACGTACAAAAGTGCATTTTGCATGATAGGTCCACTTTTAAATAGGCTGTTGAAGAATCTGTCTGCCCTCCAGTCATCGTTGCTTACATTTTCAGTCACCTCGTCTTTTTTGTTTCACTTGCATTCTAAATTTAGAGGATTTCATGTTAGTTGAAGGAAACAATGAAACCAACAATCTGACACGTTTGTTATGGTGACATCTTTTGTGCTCTTGAAACTGACAGTACTTTTGAGTTGCACATTATTCCTATTGAAAACACAATACATCCGCACTCATATGATGACAACGATTATAGAAGAGCCATATACTGTAAAGTAAAGTGGAGATACCCAGCCTAAACATGCAAACACACAAATCAGCTCTCATGTCAGCAAGCGTTTTGGAAAAACTGTATAATCTAAGATGAGTGCTCTCCATTGGCTTGTAAAAGTATACATTATAAAGGAGGCAGGTTTGTAGATATTTACAACTGACACAAATGCTCTTTCTTTTACTTACATGGTTTGACAAGTTCCCAGTGTCCCCTGGAATATTATTTGCTGCAGAAAGTAGACTTGAAAAAGCCTTAACACCTCATTTGAAGGCGACTGTTATTTAAAGTAGTGCTTTTGAATAATAAAGATAAAAAATAGATGTTTTTGACGGTTTCACATAAATATCATGTATTTCGGCTCTAAAGACCGCAAGTCATAACAAGTCATGTGCTTTTGATTAATTTTAAAATGAAAATCATCCTTTATCTAATGAGAGTTTCAGGTAAAAGGTTGTACCTGTTTTAATTAAAATGCCACGTGAAAAATAATAGCTGGAAATAGTTAGTCTTTTATGTTTCCACCTTGTCCTGTACATTAGCACAAATTGGACTATGTATCTTAAATGTTTCCATGACTCACGCCTTCCGAGACATGATGACAGGTACTGAAAGATGACTGGCCGCCTTTGATCATCTTGTAATGTCAGATGAATAAAAACATCAGGCTGGCAGCATATAAAGATGATGTCTTACTCTGTTTTTAATGAAGTCCAGAAACACAAAAATCTGCTAACAATCCACATGATTTGAATACTGTGTGTACATACTATAAACAGAGTATGATAACGTGTCCACATTGCTGGCAGCTGTTTTCCTACAAGATAGTGTGCAATGGGAATCACTTGACTCTTATGACCTGAATCAGTGGTGGGTTTTAGGAGTGGATTAGATATATTGAAATAGATCTGAGCTCCAAATTGTCACCTCTTAACCCCCAATCCTTGTAAACAACCACTTAAAGCTGCACTCCTCAATATCCAAGGTAGCCAATGGATGTAATGACTGTGTAAAGTGAGTGGCCTTTCTCATAATGACCAACCCACAGTGAATTATCTCCTTACTCTGCAACAGAATAAGCAAAATATATTAGTTTACATCCATTGCTGCCCGATCAAAATGAGAAAACTGAAAATCCCTTTTGTCTGGCTTCTTTCCTTGCAGGCACCAATTTATTGTCACGGTAGCTCCAATGTTTGCACACAAAATATATTATTTTCATTTCAAGTTCATCCATATGGAATCTTTAGCTTTAACATAAGAGTTTTTTTCTCATTTCAGAATCTGAAGCGTGTGGCCGAGGTGTGGATGGACGAGTACGCCGAATACATCTACCAGCGCCGGCCTGAGTACCGTCACCTGTCAGCAGGAGACATGTCAGCCCAGAAGGAGCTGAGGATCCGCCTCAACTGCATGAACTTCAAGTGGTTCATGGACAAGGTGGCCTGGGATCTGCCCAAACACTATCCACCAGTGGAGCCCCCTGCTGGAGCATGGGGAGAGGTACAGTCAGCTCCCATACCTTAAACACAAAAAGGGTTGAGGAATTAGTCTCAATGATAGGTTTGCCAAATGTAAAACCATGACTCTAAGATAAGGAATCTTTGACATCGGAGCATCTGAAGTGCTGTGTTAGAAGTTTACGCTTTAGAGCAACTATATCCAGGGTTGTTTCTTTCACCTTTCTTTAAAGTTCTTTTTTTCAAGACAAAGTTTGGGTGTGAAAGTGTCTCTTTAGTTATTAATGGGTCCATATCTACCTTAAAATCATAAGCATTTGTATGTGATTTGGTAAAAAGCTCAGTTGACAGTACTCCTGAATATAATGAAAAGTTATTCAACCACATTTTTGATATTTTGTGTTTTTCTATTTTTGTGTTGTCACATTCTAAGACAAAAAAACGATTTGCCACGAATCAAGTCGACATTTTAATCTCAAACGCTGAGCATCTTGGTTTTGATATTTCAATATAACCATTAGACCATTAGCATCATTAGTAACAGCTTCTTCTAAAATAACTCAAGACGCTGTCAAGAAAATTGTGGCCATTTGGCTGTAATAATCCTATCTGTCTGTCGCAGCAGGCTGAAATCTGCTCTGACAGCACTCAGAGAGGAGAGCACATTCACTCAATGTGAATCAGAAACTCATTTGCATTTAATTGCCTCCCGAAATATACCAAACTAAGGGTCTAATTCGAAAAACTTGAATCTGCCTCAACAATTTAGTGCCTGTGTGATGGTTTTATAGGAAAAAGCTCCAGTTAATGTCACAGACTTAAAACACCTGTCGTATAAATGATGATCCAGTCGGTTGACGGGTTTGTTTACTTGTGTGAGACTTTGATGATGTGTGTGTTTGATTGTAGGTGCGTAACGTGGGAAGTGGCATGTGTCTGGAGAGTAAACACGTTGTATCCGGGAGTCCCATCCGCCTGGAGAGCTGCGTGAAGGGGCGGGGCGACGTCAGCTGGAGCCATGGACAGGTGAGCAAATCGAAAAAGTCAGAGTCAAAGTCAACTTTATTGTCAATCTTTCAGTTTGTGCGTACAGAAAGAGAGATCTAAATACCGTTTCCCACTATCCCGAATATAAGAATAAAAATATGTATACAAATATGTATAAAATATATATCCTATACTGTATAAACACAATCAACAGACACATTTATACATGTGCACACATTAAGAAAAAGAAAAACACAACAATAAATATATACAAAATAACAGTCACTTCAATATCTTTGGGAATGTACATTAGTGCAAGATTATATATTTATTGTTGTGTTTTTCTTTTTCTTAATGTGTGCACATGTATANTCCATCGGTTTGGGGTTTAAAATATAAAAACAGTAATAAGCCTTATCAGCCATAACTATCAACAGAATTGCATTGCCAGGCAACAGCTTGGGGTGAAAACAGTATTTCCGGTCTCAAAGTTTTCATGATAAAACCGGAAGTATTCCCCTCACTGTCAAATTATTTCACAGTGATATATCTGCAGTCCTCATCCACTAAAAAACATCAGTTTATCCTTGTTAATTACACAACATTGATTGGTTTACATTTTGTACAATGCTTTTTGTGTTTTTAACCTTCGATTCGGAGAAACAAATCGTTTTTTGGGAGTTTCGGATGGCCGAAGACACTACACTATCCATAATCCTCAGCTATCATTTGGGACTACAACATCCGCTTTGCTTGACAAACCCTGTGATTAGTCCTCAAGCTCTGTGATTGGATGTTGGAGTGGCAGTGTGCCAAGGTTACACCGAGCGTCAAACAGCTCTATGGCACGTCTCTACTGGGACTTGTAGTTTTAAAAGACGTTTTCGTATTTCCCATAATTAGAAGTTGCCAGTGTTAAAGTGTGTACACTGGTGTTATCAAATTTAAAACATATAATTAATAAATGGGTGAAAATTGCTTGTGTCCATAATGGGCAGCATTAATATACCCACAAGACTTATGACTGCTCTTATGTCTGTGACCCTTCCTGTTGTTAATTGATAAGCCACATGCACTTGTCAAGGTTCAGAGGCAAATTTAGCAAATATGGCATTAACCATCAATCATCTTAAGATAAGATAAGATATACTTTATTGATCCCAAGTTCGGAAATGTTTTTGTTACAGCAGCATGTACAACATGCAATTTATCATACTTTGTTCTACTCCACTACAATTCAGAGGTTAACCTGGTATTTTTACTCCACTACATTTATTTTAGTTACTTTGCAGATTATGATTAATGATGTGAAATATATACAACCCTTAAATCAGTCAAATTCAGGGTCAAGTGCCAAAATAAACTACGCAATATATTAGACGTTAAGTACTTTGTCAGGCTTAATATTTATCTGTAGATACCCCCAAAGTTTTTTTTCTTATTCAAAAGAAGACCTTAACTTAAAGTATTCTTTATTGTTTGAATAAAGCCTTATTAGTTTGTCTGTTTTGCACATCCTCCTGTTAATATCTTTGGACGTCCTGCACTAGCTGTTTTATTGTAGAGATCACTACAGTATCTTCTTGATATTTTCTATTCTATATTTCTATCATTGACCTTCTACTTTCCCCTATTTTGTATGTAGGCTACTCTTAATATTTAAATGTTTTCATCAAATATAACATATTCAATAAAAAAATGCAATAACCTGCTGTAACCACCAGGCGGTGCGGGTTAAAAAAACTGTCAAGTTTACAGTGTTGACACAATAAATTATACTTTATGAAGATGTTACAAATAACACAAAGCATACGATGCCATAATAACTTTGTATTATTATTATTAGTGTAGGACACTTGTGTATGTATAACATCTGAAGATGTGTAGTTTTATTCATATTTTCACATAATTTTACAGGATATTGCTATATTATTTCACATATTGTAGTTATACGCATTAATATCTGAGATATATCCGTCATTTAATGGTAAGCTATTGAAATTCTGATTCCATTGATGTGTCTCCCATCACCCAAAACCCCTGACTATTCTCTTGACTCAGTATTTACATAATTTAATTAAAAGAAAATCACTAATATCTTTAAAAACTAACAGTCCTTTTCTATAAGCTGTGTACCGTTATGGTGTAAATATAACCTATTTACCAATTGGATCAAATATAAAAGTCAGCCAAATTACTATTGATACTACAAGGAGACGTATTGTGTGAAGAGAAATTGAAGATGTTGTTTAATTGCCGATATATTTATGATCCAAGTCATATATTCAGTTTCGGCTGCATTTCTTCCAGTTTATCCAGAAGTCTTGTAATCAGGGCTCTATTAAATTGTGAAATACGGCAGATGTGTGATATTCAATGCAGCCTAACCGTGTATTATCATGCCGTTATGTGATGACTTTCAAAGAAAAAAGCAAGCACACTCAGAATAAAGTATTCTTTTCTTTTCTTTTTTAAATGTTTTCAGATTTCACATCACAAACACCATATCCCAACGTGCATTGCGGCTAAAACATCCAATTATCAAGCTTCACCGATAGCTGAGGATTATTCGTAGTTCAATGTTTTAGCCTATCAAAACCTCTGAAAAAAGAAATGTGTCTCTCAAAATCGAAAGGGAAAAATCTATGGGAAAAACACAAAAGCAGTGTACACAATTTAAACCAATTAATGTTGTGTAATTAACAAGGATAAACTGATGTGTTTTAGTGGATGAGTACTGCAGATATCACTGTGAAGTCATTTGACAGTGAGGGGAATATGGTTTTATTATGAAAACTTCGAGACCGGAAATACTGTTTTCACCCCGTGAGGGTTGTTGACGCTAACTTTACATAGGGGGAAAGACATACACGTTCTCCTGGCGAGACCTCAAATAATCTTCGTAATATCTATCAAACTATATTTCCTACACATCCACTGGACGTGGATTCTAAAAGTACAATATACACTTCTCGCTAGAAATCTAATCAAAAAGCTATTCTACAATTTAGGATTTTCCAGAGAGGGTTATTTGTGAATATACGACCCTCCGGAGCGTTTGCAATTGCCGCAAATTGTTGTTTCTTACACGACCAATAGAGGTGGTAAACTTTAAAGCGTGACTATAGGTCGTAATAAGCTGCTGAACAATCAACCTATTTGGTCGTATGAGTTGGAGGACTTGTTGCTTAATTTTGCTCTCAAAGTGCACCAGATTGATGCATTTAACTTCAATATTAAAAAAAAAAAAATCTTCCCGGGGGAGCATGCCCCCAGACCCCCCTAGAGGATGTTTGGTCCACCCACCACTTGTAAAAAATAGCACTTTACCCCTGCTTTTTGACTAAATTGACCTCAACACAGGTTTCAAATACTTTTACCTTGAGGCACATTAAAGTATGTCTGAATCAAGGAACAGTGGTTGACTTTTCAATTGCAGCCATGCAGTACACCTGTCAATCAATGCAGAGAGATGTTGAAACCGTTACAGCCCTTTAAATTACAGTTTAAGTTGACTTCCAGAAGTTAAAGCTATTCTTAAAAATTGAGTTTTGGATACATTTGGAAAGCAACACACACCAGGCAACCCGCACAAGCTTGTTGGGGTGTGAAAGAGCTTTGTTAGTTCTGACTCTTCTAGCATGTATTCAGCACCGCATTCGTCAAGTTTGTATTTAATTTATCACAAGACACATTTTCATCCAAATATAGAAAGCTTTTATTTGACAATTTCAGCAAAAATATCATACAATTCAAGTTTAATTGTACAGTTTGTTAAATACCTAAATACACTTTTACAGTTGCAATGTCAGTAGAAAAAAATATTGGATATTTTTTATGAGATACAAAATGTACACTTTCCTACACATGAAAATCCACACATGTACACAACATGGTGTAAAAGGCCGACCATGCCCACTGACATTAAAAAGCTATGCCCTTTTAAAACAATATGAACCCCCGACTTAAAGTTCACCACTTAAATAAAAAAGTATTTTGATATTACAACAAAAAGTGGCAGCACATTAACCCTTACCTTACTCCACAAACTGTGGAAAAGTATTGAATACAAAAGGAAAAATGTTTGACAACATGAACTGGATTTTTCCACTGTAAAATGATTTTTATAAAGGAATAGCTTGTACACAGTGATAAAAAGATGTAATACTTTACCACAGTGAATGCAATCTATAACAAGTCAATGTAATGTGTCATTAAGACTCAACCTATTGTTTTTATTGACGTACTAAAAACATACTTTACATGTGCAATGGAAAGGTACAATGTACTCTAATGAGCAAAAGAAAAACACAACAAAAAAAAAATTAACTCAAAGGGATACAGTTACCAACACTGTGGGCAATACGTTCAATTGTCCAATTTCCCAGAGAGATCATTTAAGTCCAGTTCTGTGGTCAAATGTAAAACAATTGTTCATTTTTAAAGCTCAAATGAATGGTTACACTAATTGGGACACAAAACCAAAAACAACAGCTAAAAACCCAGCTAAAAAGAGGCTCAATTGCTCAGTTAAGTTTCTCTCAATATAATTGGCAAAGTTTCTTATTTCCGGAAAAAGTACTGAAGAACTAGGTATCATATCAGCAGGGATTTCAAATCACTACCTAGAACATCATCTTCTTCTTTGTATGGTATGTTTAAGAATCCACCTTTTATCTAATGTTTAACCGAAAGGAATCAAGTTATTTTGTAAAACAAAGGAGACACTTCTAAGATATAAGGTACTTTAGTAGTACAACAAAAATACTTATGCAGTGTTTCATTACAGCCCACAATGTTGCTATGTGTATTCAGCCCTCAACACAAGTGTGTGCTCAAGTACAGTGTTGGTATTAAACAGTCACAAGAGTCCTTCACAATAAAGTCCCATGATTGAACAGCCCTGATTGCACTACTGATCCGAACAGGACTTTGACACATCACCAAGAAAACAGTGTTTTAAAATGAACCTTCAAAGAAAAACAGTAGGAAACATGAAATAAATCAGGCTGTAAAAGGTCAGGTGGGTTTTCGCTTCTGTCCTGTTTGGTCCTGTGGTGAAATCCTGGCTACATCAGAGACTCAGTGGTCTGCAGCAGCAATTCCCACTCCCCTCTTAACAATCTGACAATGTACAAGTTGTCCAGGTATGTAGTGAGAAGGTCAGGGGAAAAAGGACACAGGAACCCTGAACTAAATTTAAATCGCCATGGTCTTCTATCAGGTGTGCAAAGGCAGGATCTTTTTCTCAGAGAAAGATGGTTTGCCATATTGAATACAAGGATTAGTGTTGGATTTTCAACAAAGATAATGTTATAAGGTGTCAATTGTTGGCCAAATCACAATTGAAGACATACATGATGCATGGGCTGCCAAGTCTACAATTAGTCTTTAAAATATATTTTTTATATATTTACTATTTATATATACTTGTCTATAGTAAATATTTTATTATGTCATCTTAAAAGTTTTCTAACCTGAACAGATGCCTGTCATTTTAGCAAACAATTCTGTCCCAGTTAGCCTAATTTGTGACTTAAAAGTACTTTTTCTAAGGTTTGTCGAGTATAGGAACTATGTTTTGGACTGTTGACATCTTATCAAGCACAATACCTGATAATGATGCATACTGTACATTAGGGCTGCACGATATATCGTGTCGTGACTATAATCACAATATGCGCATGCGCGATATTCACATCGCAGGACGTGCGATTGTTTAAACAAAAAATTGAAAAAAGATTTTTTAGGACTTGCGATATTAAGTAGGCAAATTAACTCAAACACGTCATGTTACAATTATTTTGCTGCTTGCTACAAAAGGGAAACTTGCGCAGCTCTCATGTCAGGGGTACTTGAGTGAGTGACAGCAAACAACCAATCACAATCAAATCTCCAAAGCAAACGGACCCGTGATTAAAGGTAAAAACACTGAATAAAGTAGTTTCATGTGTTTCTCCAGGGCAGTTCGGCGCTGCTAACCGAGCTAGCTCAGCTTGTTGCTCTAACTTAAGATCCAGACGTCCGTGACTAAAATCCTTCATCCGGTTAAATATAGTTAAAAAAATACCAATTGTATTGCATTAAAGTTCAAGAAAGGATGGTTTGCGGGAGAAAAACTGTCTTTTTTTCAATTCCTGTATGTTTTCATATCGCAATATATATCGCAGGGGGGAAAAAAATCGCAATGTCAGTTTTTTCCGATATCGTGCAGCCCTACTGTACATTGTTCTTTTTCACGAAACCAGATTAGAGAATGGGTGCAGGCGACAGACCAGGAAATGCCAGGAAATCACGTTCAGCAGGAAACTAATCAGCTAAATCACAGGTTTAAATTATAACATAACATTGAATTAAAACAGAAAGAAAAACAATAGGGTAAAAAAAAATGTAGTAACCAACAATTCCCTTTCCCATAAAAGTACTTTGGATTGAACAGGTGGGAAAACAACAAAACAGCATCGTATAGTGATTACACGGGTCTTCTTAGGGCTAATAGTTTCAAGGCAGGAGGAAAATGTGGCGGGAAACTAAGTCTCTTTAGCTCTATTCACAGCCAGAAGTTACATGTGTGTTCATTGAGAGAGCCATATAAGGCTCACAAAGCCAGAGGCACCCTCAATGCCCAGCACCAGAGTCGAGGTCAACTCATCTTTCATTTGAAATGAGATTCAAGAGAAGTTTTTTGATGTAAAGATTCTTAGTTTTCAAGAAAAAGTCACATCCTGAATAGATTGAATTGTTTTCTATGCTGATGTAGACATATTTGGCCCACACACATACGTACACACACACTTTTTCAGAAAATACACACACCTATCTAATCCTCTTCCAACAAGGCACGAAGATTTCATTCAAGTTTATCATTACACAAGTGCTTAATGCATTTTAAACCCCCCATTCGTCTCAATCCCAGAGCTACCTCAGCGAGCCTATCCAGAGTGATTCTCCTATTCGTCTCCCTGAACGCTAAAGTGATGTGTCAGCTCGGCAGCCGGCCAATCGTGCGGCCCTGCTGTGAATCAGCTGGCCTGACAATCACAGAGCCAGTCATCCAGCCAGGCAGGCGTCCATTTTGCAGTCCCACCCGCTGCTTTTGCGCCGCGACCCTGCGCTCGGCAGAATGTGACGGGGTCGTTCCGGCGACTGATCAGCATGAGTCGTGCGGGGGAGAAGCAAAGGGCGAACAGGAAGCAGAGGGGGGGGACGGGGACTCAAAGAGGTGTGACAGCATCCACCACCACCCCCCTCACAACAAACAATCCCTTAGCCAGCAAGAGTTGGCCTGAACAAACCCCCGGCATTGGATAGTGCTCGCATCCGAGGAATAAAAGAAGAAGTGGCACAGTGAAAACCCGCGGACGAGTCCTCAATAAATACAGCCAGCAAAGTTCAGAACAGAGGAAAAAAAAGGCATGAGGGGCATTAAAGAGGTCGCTGTTCTACTTTCTTTTTCCACCTGCTACATTCAGAGCAGCTCGGGCCCCACAGTGGCCACAGAGAGTTGGTGGGGGGGAGGGGAGCAGGGGGCACGAGGGGAAGGAGGGAACAGAAGGTGGATGAGGGTTGTAAAAGAAAATCAATTCACCAGGTGATTTTCAGAGTGGTTCTGCCTGGCTTCACCCAGGTGTCAGGATGACTTTGGCTCAGCTGGAGCAGCCACCTCCCCACCCCCCCAGGGAGGTTGTCAGAGCTGGAGAGACATAAGGGGATTTGAGAGGGAAGAATGGAAAAGGTGCAGTCATGCAGGCAGATAGAGACGGAGGTGCAGGCGGAGGCGGACCAGAAGAGACAGAAGGAGAAAGAGATGGAGTCAGCGGATAAAGGTGGATAGACAGAGAAAATTGAGAATAAAAAACTGTGCAAGGGAACAGAAAGGCAACGGATAAAGGCAGAGAACATTTTAAAACAAAAGGGAATGAAGAAAAGGGAGGAGGGATAACCAATCACCAGCCAAATCAGGAAGTGAGACAAACCAACCGCCACAGCAACGCCGTGACAGAGCAAATACATCTCACACTAAATCACTTTTAAACACACACCCATCTATCAAAGCTCAACTCCGTCTTCCCTCTGACTGATGTGTTTAAACAACTTCCCTCACGGTATCCCATCATGCCTCAGTCTGTGTGACCCTAAGAGAAACAGCTGCCACCTTCAGGTAAACGGGGAACCAAATGAATGTAAAACCCCATTTCCCAGCAGCAGCAGCAGATCCACGTCTGTGTGCGTCAGGAGTTTTTTCGTGGATGCTGCAGGGCCTCATTTGCCTCCCCGGTCGAATTGTTCCAACACGGTGGAGTTGGTCTTCTCAAAAACCCACTGCTGCGTGGGGGCGGAGGGGTCACACGTGTTCATGAAGATTCGCCGCTCGTTGGGGCTGCAGTCGATACAACTGTTACTGACCGTGTGATACAGACTCTTATCCTGGAGGGAGGTTGGAGAAACACAAAAGATTGTCTAAATAACAAAATTAGGATTTCTTTCATTGTAACATTTTCACCTTGAAGTCCATTTTTCTTCAAGCATGAAATTATTTATGTTGAAACTTGCGCTGGTGTTGGTGATGACACTTTAACCTTTCAAATCTGTAATTAATTCATCATTACTACACTAAAGCAGTGGTTCTCAACTGGTCAGGCCTCGGACCCACTTTTTCCTTTGTCAATGAATCGCGACCCAACATTTTGAACCACTCAAATCTATTCAACAAAAAATTGTGCAGTAATATATACGCTTCTCAGCGTACAATATTAATTAAAGTGAAGTAACCTACAGTGCATATCCCTTCACAGAACTAAAGTATGCTTTTAAAAAAGGTATAATGAGATGATGGAATTAAAGCTGAACTGTATAACATAAAAAGGCACACATGCTCAGAGGGGTCTGTAGATTTTTAGAAATACTAACATATAAACTATACATTCTGGTACACTGAGAAGAAAATAAATAAATCTATTACTACCCGGCATATTAATAATGTTATGCCGTTGTGTTTTTCACTTTGTTCTGACAGCTGAACTTGCTGCTCCACACAGAGAGAAGAGTAAAGAGGAGATAGTCTGTGTGAATTACTTTAAATTGTGGGTAGGGTAGATAGCCCCCATTGTCCTGTGACCTGTCAATCATCAAACCGGGCATCATATTTCATTATGTGTTCATTTTTATTATTTTACCGCAAAGTTATTCTCCGTGGGGACTTCCGGCAACAATCTTGATTGAAACATTTTTCTTCACTGACATCTGCGACCCACTCGAAACGGGTCTGCGACCCACTTTTGGGTCGCGACCCAACAGTTGAGAACCACTGCATTAAACTGTACTAATTAGCAGGCATAGACTTAAATATTTGTACATTTATTATAAAAAATGTTTTACTGATTTTTCTCTGTTTATTGCTGAAGACGAGCTTGTTTATGAGAAAACCTCAAATCCTAGAGCTTTTTTAAAAAAAAAATTATAAATAAAATTGTGGCCTGTTATATGGCATGTTTTGGTTTTAACCGAGCTGAAATGCATAACAACAGCATAATGAGGTTCTTAGAATATCCATCAGCTGCAGGGCAGTTTCTGTTTGAATGCTAAACCTTACTGAATGATTAAGTGACCTCAAAAGTTATTTATTTCAAGGCAGTTATGTTATAAACTTTGTTGTTTTGTTAAAAAAAAAGGAAGGAGGATCAAAAGAGCAGAGCGGCTGATATAAATAGAGATAATGTGTTTCTGTCTTTACACTCTGCTGTGCCGTACCTTTCTGTAGCGCCACAGCTGGTTGCCCTTCATGCCGTGACAGTCGTACAGGGTGACGGGGCTGTTGTGTGAAACGGCATCGAAACAGACTTTCTTAGTGTGCATGGGGTCGCCCACCCGGATGTCCTCTCTCCATCCGAATGTGAACACCTGCATGCAAAAGTAAACACATCCTTTACTCAAGTAGAAGTAGAGATACACGTGTTTAAAAATAAACTGGTAGAAGTACTAACTAAACTTCTTTACTCAAGTAAAAGTAAAGAAGTATGGGCTTCAAAATGCACTTC